AGTAATAGACATGTTGGAGACTTAATTAATGTTTTCAACCGTATCAAAAAATTATTTTTGCTGCCTGCATGCTGCTTCCAACACAGAAAACATGAATGGACATAAGATTCCAGAAGTTTTCTTCATGCAACTAATCGCAGGTTGAATTATCAATGATCCTAAAGTAAAATAAAACAGCCACTAAGAAAACCTGGTAACATAAATCCTAATGGAGCTGCAGAAAACCAGTAGTAATGCATCTATACTTTTTTTTTTTTGGCGTAGTAAACCAAAACATTCAACTAACAAATACAAAGTCATACAGTTAGAAGACCAAAAGAATTGGGTTCTATCCTGGAAAATGCCAAACTAAAGTGATTAAGACAGTCACAACTGATGTGCAAACACACACATGCTCCCAGTATTACAGCTAGAACAACTGATATGAAGGGTTCTTGGAAAAGTGCCTGTTCATCTACACAAAGTACTTCAGAAATGTTCAAAACTTGTGCCCAGTTCTCCAATCATTCAATATTCTTCAGTAGTGTTTGAGAAATAGCAGAAAAGAGCCACAAAGACAGCATGAAGATAGGAAAAAGTGCCTTGTGACTAGATGATGGAAAAAGTTCAAAGTTAATCATGCTAATCAATATGGATACTGGAAGAAACTAAGTCCTCTCACTGCACAGAAAGAATACATAAAAAAGAGCTTCCATAAGAAAGAGCTTCCAATTAAAAGAAAGCACATAAACCCCCCACATGACTAGAAACTGAAGGCTGACAAATTCAAATTAGAGTAGGAAGAGAAACATGCAGAATAGCAAGGATAATTAAAACTTGAATAAATTATTTGGGGCAAGGATTTGAATTTGCTATCTTCAAATTAAAGCTGATGCCATTCTGGAATTTACACTTTAGTAAAAACACAAGTTACTGAGTTTAATAAAGGTAGAATTTGGTGCATCCCAATATACAAAGTTCAACTATAGATTTACATAAAAGCTTAATCTTGTAATATCTGTATACTTACTTTGCCTGGATGTCAATAGTCCAGAAATCACACAATAACAGAAAAAGGTCTACGGTTTGCCCCTCTTCCCTCCCCTCATGCCAAAGCTAAAGGCCTCTGTGTTATTTTCTAAAACTACCCCTGCAATTCTGGGTATTAGATTTTCCTTTCAACACTTGCTTTTGGTTTGTTATTTCAGTAAGATCACAGATGTACTTTATTTCCCTTTGTAAAAGAGGGAAAGACGTGAAATAATCTTTAGTTTCTACATTTTTCACTTGGACCACAGCTGATTTTTTTTTTCCCCACTACACACTCCTTGATTTTGCAGCAGAGCCATTTGTTTATAACTCAATTATGCTTGCTATTTCAGGCTTCCTCCAGAATATATAGTTATGAACAGAAAGCCCCTCCTACATCAGGAGGTGAAATCCAATCATCTGTTTAAACTTCTTCTAGTAGCTCTCCTTTTACTGGCTAGGTATCAAATTAAGTTATTTTCCAAACAGGTAAGTTTTACACCTTTACTTCAGTTTTAATGTTTAAACTTCTATTTCATCCCTCCTTTTGTCTGTGCTTTGTTATTTTAATTTCTTTTGCTACCCATCCTTCATGCAGCCTTCCATGTAAAATACCTTTCTGTTCACCAAGTTCTTCAGTGTCACCTGCATATTTGTTTATATATAGCTTATATTAAGACCAAGCAATCCTGTAATTCTGTAGCATAACACACAGCTTTTCTGATGTTCTGTTAGTATTCATTACTCAAATTGTGAGGGATTAGAGTGGAATTCTTTATCATTTTATGAAGTGCATACCAGTAATCAGGCTATGCATACATAGAGTGGCAAACAGTTAAACATCCAGAAAAAAGCAGCCAGTAGAAAAAAACGGCAATCAAGAAATAATGGTTTAGGTTTGAAGAAGAGCCATCATACACATAACTGGTATTGAACTGGAGCGCTAGAAACAGGTGGGTGGTCCCAGTGGTGCTGTGGGTGTAAAAATGAATATACACTACCTGCCAGATGCCTGCTACAGTAAAGGACCAATTTATAGAATTCTCTCAGGAACATCTGGACTGTGATAATGTAACATTATAGCTTTTAAAGTCATTCACAATCTTTAATTAGCACACACTATATTTAAAGTTACAGCTTAGAATTAATCCTGTCTATAGCTTCCTATGAAACAGAACTTAAAAGATAGACACCAAACAATCCTTCTGCAAGGCTGAGATTTCAAAACTCTAACTATTTTCCTAGCTTAAATATCCTCAAAACAAAAACCTAGACATAAACCCATGGTGTATAAAACTCTTATAAGCGGTTAGTGATTTCTTCCCACGTTTTAAGTGGTTAAAAAAAGTACACATGTAGCTTAGAAGCAGTTAATTTTATATATATTACATATATTTACATATAATTTTTATGTGCATTAGCAGACCTATCTAACATGATAGAAAAATAAACAGCAATTGCTTTTCTGAATGCAGCAATGCAAAAGCTTCCAAAATTCTCTAAGTACCAAGCTGCAGAACTACAGAACTTGAAACCCTACAGAGTGGTGCAGTCATTCCATACTACCAGGTACCTCCACAGGACTATACTAGAATAAAGTTATAAAATGAAAATTAAAATAACTACAAGTTAAGATTCTAACCTTGCTATAATACATGTAAATATTTTTTAAGCTGGCTGGACATTTAAGAGCCTAGACAAAAAAATGCTATGTGCTATGGGCTCATGTTAACACTACTAATGAAGGCTACATTTCTGTATTTCATAGCATCATAGAATGGTTTGGGTTGGAAGGAACCTTAAAGATCATCTAGTTTCAACCCCCCTGCCATGGGCAGGGACACCTTCCACTAGACCATGTTGCTCCAAGCCCCGTCCAACCTGGCCTTGAACACTGCCAGGGATGGGGCAGCCACAGCTTTCTCTGGGCAATGTTATTTCCTAACATTCCAATTTAACTTACACTGATGTTTACTTAAGTTTTCTAGTAATTATGAACTTATTTTTCAAGACATACCTAAAACCTGTGAAAGTCTCACTATAAATGTGCTCAAAAAAAAACAAAAAAAAACCCCAAACAAACCAAAACCAAAAAACCCCAAACAAACCCCAAAACTTTCAGAAACAACACCAATTCTTATCCAGTCCATGGAGAAATATATGCATGGTAGCAGTGCAATGCTGAGCTTTTAAAACAAACTAAAAGGGAATTCATTAAAGTTGTATCTTCAGTATACTCCAAGAAAAAAAGTCAGTTTTCTAGAGCACTGTGTCTAACTAGTAAACATCACAGCCAAAAAAATATGGGAGAAATCAATGTATGTTTCCTCCTGACTTTATTGTCAACTTCTCTTTTTTTTTTAATCAGGGAACAAAAGCATAATTATTTCATATTATAATTATTAGCATACACACAATATAAATGAAAACATAAACATACCATATCTTTCCAGAGCTGCAGAAACTTGTTCTTTCAAATCCTAAAATGGACTTCTACACTTCTTGTTCCTACGATGCAAAAAAATTACATTTCAGTTTTCCCACTGTGCTCCACGCAAGTTCAATACAACTTCAAAATGATACATTCAATCAGTCACAAGTTGCAACTAAAGGAAACATAGTATCACAGAATATCTCCAGTTGCACCAGACCCATAAGGAGAAGAGTCCACCCCCTGTTCTCACAGGTCTACCTAAAACTAAATCATGACTTCCCAAGCTAAATCATGCTTCCCACAAAAAACACAACAGAAGATATTTAGTATGTTAGGGCAACTACAAAAGCAGAAAGTCCTACACGCAGTCTTTCCTCCACAGTGATGCAGTAGTTTTACAATTCCATTCATCCAGCTCATGATAAGCATCCACTTCCTTCTGGAAGATTCTGGCAAGGTCTTCTCTCCACCCCTCTTTTTTTTCTTTGTGGCTGGGTGGTTTTCTTTTTTGTTCATGGGGGTTTTTGTGCATGTGTGTTCAGGTTTTGTTTGGTTTTTGTTTGTTTGGGTTTTTTTCTTTTTAGTTTTGTTTTTGATGGTAATTATAATTAAGAAACAAACACACCCAACACTCAAAAGACATCACAGATAGAACCCACATCTTTGTCTTGGCTGCACAAAAACTCCTGGAGTTTGATAAACTTCTCTATAAATTGTTCATTTTCATGGAAGCCGTAACTAACAACGTGACTAAAACACACTTCAAACATTTTCAGCAAACACCTAAAGTACAACCAATTTCAGGGAGAAAAAGTGACAGAAACAAGCATATCAAGAAATCTAGTAATAACTTCCAAAAACTTACTCATTTGGCACAGAGTAACATATTTTCAAGTACCATAAAGATTTAATAATTTCTTGGTTCCAAAACTCTATTTAGAACAATCAAATCCAACACTGCTGATTTAGGCTGATCTCCAATACAGATCAGAGTTCCCATGAAGGAAACACTGATCTGGTTACCTCAGGAGTAGATTCAGGTTTGTCTTAAAAGATGTCAAACCACAGAGAACCCATCCAGTACACCAACGGCCCAGTTCTTTATCAGGGATGTGAAATGGGGTGATCCTGGTCTGAAACAGTGGTGCCAGTAAAGCACTCTTTACAGCACTAACAGTTTGTCCACAATTTTTTGTATTTAAAGAAAATAGTTAAACAGGACACCCCATCTGTATCATGAAACTAGACTGCTATTTCAACAAACAATTAGGATAATTATGTGGATTTATGTACAATTACGATTAATGAGTTAATATTATGCAACTACATCAATAAATTTTACTACCATTCAGAAGAAAAAAAAAATTATTTGAACAATATGAGACAGTAATTTTCCTGTTTGGAGGTGGCATTTCTACTCCATGCCATACCAATAAATCTAGAATATCTACTTTATATTCTATTAAAGAATAATTCTTCATATTCTTCATATCTATTTTATATTCTATTAAGGAATAATTCTTCCTTCACAGTGATGTCATTAGGCAAACTCAAAAGTACTCCAACAAATGTGACCAGTATTTTCACGCCTTGTATCACAAGAGTTCCAGCTCAAACACCAATGCATATAATTGTTCATGTATACAGATAAAGCAGGATCATCTATATAAAATTCACTCAGTCTCCTTTAAGGTACAAAAGCACCAACTGTCAGTATGCAGAGAGTATGAGCAGAGCACAAAGTATAGCATGAAAAGGTATCAAAATTACACATTTATCAAGGATCTTATGATTATTACCCAGCAATGGGAGAAAAGACAACAAAGGTTCCCAACATAATGGAAGCTATGTAGTTTAAGACAGTACAATTTACAGAAGAAACAAGACCACAGTGAAGGTACTGGAGACACAGGATTTGCTTAGTAACATGTAGCTAGCAGGAGATGAGCAATTCCAGCAACACAAAACCGAAGCTTCTGGACTTCTAGTCCTCTTTCTTCATCTCCCTCCACCAGCTACCACCAGAGCAGAGCAGGAGTTCAGCAGTCTACTAAAAAAAGTACTCTCAAAGGCTACATAACAAACATCAAAATGAAATATGGAATCTGTAATGCTTGTCTAAAAGGAATGAAAATTTCATGAAGTCAGATGTGCTTCAACATTCACCTTTAGTACTCCTATTAATTAGCATTAAGCTACCACATCTGCCTAAAAAAATGCAAATGGCAAACGTGACTAAAAGCATGGCTAACAGTATTGCTTCTTTCCACTCAACACAAAGAAATCTTGATGTGTCGCCTGACCAGAGCCAAAACAGCTGCTTGTTTACAACTGTCACACATTTTCAATAAGAGGAGACTTCAAGGCACACTGAATATTAACAAAGATGCTAAGCTACTGAACTAACCAAACTATAATGCAAAATACTTAAGAAATTAATTCTAAATTACAAAAAATACTTCGGAACTTTCATGTCTGGCTTGATGAAAGACATCAGAAAATCACCTCTATGTGGTCTTAAACAACATTTCCCCCCCTTTTTTTTTTTTTTGCAGTAACTGTCACAAGACAGGAGCAAAAATAAAAAATTCTGAGCACTACCCTTAAGAAAAGGGTACGTATGTATGTATCATTATGTATTTGAAATTGTGCTAGAGAATCCTGAAGTTCAAATAATAATAACTTTCTTCCATGACTGACATTCTTAACATAATATTAGCCAAACAAAAAAACACCAAGTATCCACAAACATCCTTCTTTCAGTAAGATATTTAGGTCACAGGAGCCACACAAATGGAGTATTTATCACCACCTTACAATGTGAAGGGCTCAACCTTTAGAACCAAGAAATACCAGCATTTCACAAAAGTGATACATTCCCTTAGGAGCTCCCGTGTCCTTGAACTCCGATGGCACTTGCAGGTCCTAAGCATGGATTTCCATGGTCCCAAATAGGTAAGTTTTGCTACAACAGCTGAAACACATCTAGGTGCTGCCACTGCAGCCTGTGTATGCTAATATACCTTGGACTTCCTAAAAATAAAATAGGGTATATACATGTATTAAACCATAGCATTCATCAAGATTTTGCACAGGAGATTTCACTATGAAATAAAAAGTAATCATTATCTGAATATGGCTATACAAATAAGAAAGATGGAAACATCATATCAAAAATAGAAATTTTGAAGTAGTGATAGACCTCTTCAATATTATCTAGCTTTGTAAAAGTTTGAGACCTTTTAAGAAAATGAAAAATACCATACTGTAAAATCAAAATATTTTAAGCATTAATCAGCTCCAACACATGACTAACCATATGCAAAAGAAAAACTTGTCTACAACTATGGTAGCATTTCTGAAGTATTTTGACCTGCAGCCCATTTTAGAAGTTCAGCTCCTTTAAGAGCCACCCCATCCCCCCCTAACCCCCCAAGCCTGCTGAACTGCAGCTGCTCCAACCTGGGTCCCACAAAGCATACCAGAGCCAGAGTACACAAGCAGTGCCAGAGCCCAGCTGCCTGGACAAGTCCGGCATCTCTCAGCACCATGCAAGCTTGGCAACATGTTACAGACAGGTCTTGTGCCTCCCCTGCACAAAGCTCCCAAAGGTATGGAAGAGGGGTATTCATTCATAATTCTAATCTCATTTTGCCAATATCTTTGGTGTAATAATTATCAAGGAAGTATCAGCAAGTCCAAAAAAGGGTTCATCAAAGGGAGTAAAGTCTCCTCTATGGAGAAATGAATAACTAGCTTCATACCTAGAACTCTATCTAGCTTGGTCAAGACAGGAGTGCTGCCGCAGTCCTCACAGGACAGCAGAAAAACAAAATCGTGTGGACTAATCGCAGCTATGCAACACCACCAAACCCAAATACAGGTTCCATGATTTTATGCTTGTGATCCCACTGGTTGATGCAAGGCCTACCAAGACCAAACCTGAACTGGATCTCAAACTACCTTATCGGTTTTGGTACTTCGTCTTATGTAGGTACTTAGGTCACAGCTTTGAAATTATGTCACACCAGGATTGAACATGAAGGCACATGGAAGACAGGGAGGTGATTCAACACAACCAGCATGTGTTTCAACATGTCATTGGTTGGATGGCTGCATCCAGATATAGTGGTCAACAGCTCAATGTCCAGATGGAGATCAGTGATGAGTGCTGTTCCTTAGGAGTCTGTACTGCGTCTGGTACTGCTTAATATGGACAGTTTGAGTGCACCCTCTGCAAGTTTGCAGCTGACACACCCGAGGGTTGGGATGCCATCCAAAGACTAGGACAAGCTTGAGAAGTGGGCCCACACACACAAACCTCATGAGGTTCAATCTGCACCTGGGTCAAGGCAATACCTGGTATCAGTATAGGCTGGGTGATGAAAAGATTGAGAGCACCCCTGAGGAGGACTTGGGGGTACTGGTGGATAAGAATACTGAATATGAGCTGACAGTGTGCACTCACAGCCCAGAATGCTAACTGTATCCTAGGCTGTATTAAAAGAAGCATAACCAGCTGGTTGAGGGAGGTGATCCTGTCCCTCTACTTTGCACTGGTGAGTCCCTACCTGGAGGTTGGAGCCTCCAACTCTTGCATCCTCAGACAGGAAAGACATGGATCTGTCGTAACAGGTCCAGAGGAGGGCCACAGAAACGAACAAAAGGCAGGAGCACCTCTCCTATGAGGAAAGGCTGAGCAAATTGACATTGTCCAGCCTGGAGAAGGTGCCAGGGAGACCTTAGAGATCTTACTGCAGCCTTCCAGTACTTGAGGGGGCTTATAAGAAAGACAAACTTAGGCCTGTTGTTATAGGACAAGGGGTAATGGTTCTAAAATAAAAGAGGGTAGATTTAAACTAGAGTTAAGAAAGAAATTCTAACAATGAGGGTGGAGAAACACTGGAAGAGGCAACCCAGAGAAGTGGTAGATACCCCATCATCAGAAAAATTCAAGGTCAGGCTGCATGGGACTCTCAGCAACCAGATCAGGTTGAAGATGTCCCTGCTCATTGCAGGGGGGTTAGATTAGATGACCTTTAAAGGTCCCTTTCAACTGAAACTATTCTATGATTCCATGAAAAAAGTTATACCCTCCATATCGAGCAGCCAGACGGTACATCAGTTCAAGTTTGTGCTAAACCATCATTGCTGTATGTAATTCACCTCCGAGACAGTCTCACTGTTGAAATACCACACAAGATAAGCATGATTCTCAAAGGTAAAGTATGTCAACACAAAGCATGTTTTTAAAGGTATGTGGAAGGATACAAACAGGAATGCTTTTCAATGACAGGTCTTGAACAGCCACATGCTGCTAATATCCTTTTCAAGCCACCAGGTGACAAAAAAACAAAACCAAAAAAAAAAAAAAAAAAAAAAAAAAAAAAAAAAACCCAAAAAAAACACCACAGCACACCAAACTCAAAACCTCTGCTTCCCTTACTACAAGTTTCTCTTAAAAGACATACGCCTGTTCTAAGGAAATGCAAGTTGCTTCAAAAGAAGCAGGTCACCCCTCTTACCTAAGACAGTGAAGTGAGAGTCAGGGTCCAGAGGGAAGCCACCCATTTAGTTCACTCAGCTGAACAACTGCAGCTGCTCCTAATTCTTCAACACTCTGTAAAACACAGGTAAAGAACCATGCAGGATGGTAATGGAAAGAGTAAAAGACTGACTTCCACCCTCTTCCTCCACTCAACAGTTTTCATAATACAGGGAAGCAGGCTCTACCTATTAAAAGTAGGAATTAGTTAGTGCTTCTTTTCAGAGATTAATTCATGAGTATTTGTGAGACAGAACACCATGGTAATATTTAATTTATAATATAATTTTGCAACAAGTTAGGTGCTTTGTTAATAAGTTCTGTCAACTCCTAGCCACAGGAAGGTGGAACTATTCAAAAATAGCAATTGGAAGTGCTATTTGGTCACGTATTGCATTGCCAACCACGAATCCTGGATCTCAACATTATTTGATTTTATCTTTTTTCCCTTTTTTTTTTTTTTTTTTTTTATATTTCTCCTACAAGGTTATTTTCTTGAAGAAACATCTTACCAGCTCGTATAGCTACTGAAGTGTTGCTTCATTACAAAATGTTACCTTTACACTGTATTTGCTGATTTTCTGCTAACCAACCAGATATGTTGCACACATTATTGTTCATATGAACCTGTTTTTTTCCAAACTTTTATTCATGGGCAATACAGCCTTATGAGGCTGTCAGACACTGTCTGTAAATACAAGAAGTTAATGCAGTAAATGTTAAGGTCAAAATATTAAGGTGACAAAAAGTCACTTCAAACATGTGGTTTGCTCATTGCCCTTGTCTCTGGGAACCAAATATTTAGGAAAGCTTACAGCACTCTCCTGGGAGTGGGGGAGAAAATGATTTTTTTTTTTTTTTTTTTACTAAACATAGTATTCTAAATTATTTGTTACAGACCCTGACAGCAAATGTATTACCCCTCTTCCATGTACAAATCAGAATTTGATTAATGACAGAAAACCTTTCAACACTGCTTCTCTGTAAAACTCATAGCTACCTTAAATACACAGGATACTTCAGAAAAAGTGTAAAACATCTCCTTTGTTTAAAAATCAATATCAATTCATTAACTAAAGTGAAGCAAAGACCTGGCCCACAGTACCAAAGACTGACACTGAAAATGAGATATCTGCCTACATATTTTAGGAATTCTCTCCCCTTGTCCCTCAATTGCATGTTCTATTTTTAAGAATTAGTGGCTTTTATCTTCCAGTGTATGACTACACTACTGTGGTGAGGGAGAAAGACATTTCCTGCATTTAAAAAAAAGATTAATTCTCCCTGGACATTCACCAAATAAACTGAAACCAAAAGTAGCAGAGGGTGGAAAAAAAATAATTTTTACTGCATAGCAAAAACTAAGGTGATGCATATTTGATGCACAGTTATAAAAATGTAAACACTATATTCGTTCCACATTAAATGCCGTATCATGTACTACACTAATTATTGTTTATACAAACTGTTACAAGCTTAAAAAGCACATACTCATAATGAAATAAGCATGATTTCATACTGGGGTTTTTGTGTCATTTCATAATTCTTAAAAAGGCTTTCTCCTACAAAACCTGAAGTTAAGTGAAAAGAAAAAGAACCTGTTTTATTTTCTCAAGTCAATTAGAACAGGGACAATCACAAGGTGCTCTAAAAGGGGTTCTAACAAGCTGAGAACATCCCTCAGTGTATTTAACATACACAGTTTTAAATCCCATCCACAAAAGAATAATCATTTGCATATGTCCTTAAGCAGTGGCAGTAATTAAAAAAAGACTAAAAGCTTTGTTTGCTATTAAAAAAAGGATCAAACCCACACAATGTTAAGAGTTCTGAAGAGGACGTGAACTGAAAGATCTAGGCTTTAAAACAAACTGCTGTGAACAAGTTAAACACCTCTGCTTTTTCAAGCCTGCCTTCCCTTCAGTCACTTTCTTCACACAGTCACACAATCGTACCCCCAGAAAATCCCAAACAAATCAAACTATTTTGCCATCTAGCTTGATGCTTTTATTTATAAATTCTTGGGAGATACTCCGGATATTCCAATGAGGAAAAACAGCAAACAACTTTGGTAAACAGAAGAAGAACTTGTTGATTCTAGTATGAAAGATACTACATTAAACAGCAAACATTTAGAGTGGAATGAAAAATATTCATGAAAGAGAGATGAAGCATCCTATAGTACTGCACAGAAATAATTTCAAGTAAAGGTATTTTTCAGCTGTATACACCTAAGCAGTGGTCTAGATTTTCTTTCAAGGTTTGTCTATATTAAATTGACAGAATATGACTGTTACAAAGACAAGTCATAAGCATTGCAAACTGCAACTGTTTTTAGAAGACACATGAGTGTGAGGAAACTATGGAATATCATCCATAGCAATTTGGTAATGCACATTTCATATTTTCAATTTAACACACATAAAAACTCGGAGTTTCACAGTATTTTCAAACCTTCAACTGTTTCCAAGATGAAAGGGCACAGAGTATTTGGTGCTACCATCCAAACCAAGCAGTTTATTAGAACTGTAAAGCCTGTTTTCCAGCAGTTTTCATTCTTATCAAGAGGTACCTCTCACCACCTCTATTATCATCCCACCCAGTCAGAGATGTCTAACAATGCAGTTAACCTAGAGTTTAGCTTCTCGCTTAGCGGAGAATGTCTAACTGGATGCTATTTGCATGAATTAGGAACTTAATCTTATGTTTTAGACCTCTCCCTTTCAAACCAGTCAATAACAAAAACAAAAGGGTAAAATGACCATACAGTCACATACGTTTCACTTTGTTAGAAAATCAAAGCTAAAATCAGACACAACTTCCCACTGAGGAACTTTTTGGTAGACCTACAAGAGGCACGGTAAAACTAATCTGACAAACTGATTCTCGCAGAGCCTCAGGTTTGCACAGCCTCCTACTGAAGTAGGGAAGTTTCCATACAGACACAGAGAGGCCATCCCTGAAGTGATGTGTAAGACACAGATTTTGCTCCAGAGTTATAACTCAGCTTACACAGAACAAAACATAAAACAATATTTCCATTAACTGGAGGAAAAAAAAAAAAGTAGCATAACCAGAAGTCTGCACATTACTGGTTCTTGCCACTTAAAGGAGAGTTGTGGAACATGCTTTGTTTCCTCAGCAGTAGTAACTTCTGAATGACCACATCACATCATCTTAGACATCTGATCTAGAAATCAGCTGCGAACCATAACATCCCACAGAACTCCTTTAAAAGAAATATTGCAGGTACGCTTAAAAACGGAACGCAGAAAGTCCTGCAGTGAGAAGTGACAGATCTCGTTTACCAGCAAAGCAGTCTATTCACAGGTTTAGCAGATCCGACTCTTCAGACTGGACAGAAGGTAACAGGAGCAAGTGAACATACCTACTTTGTTAAGCAGGCCTTGCACACTAGTTACGCGCCCTCGCAGTACTTCACACACCCGCACCTCCCCGGCTGCCC